ATGCATTATCTTAAAAAAAAAAACACTAGACTTTGGCTACTTATAGAAAAAGGGGTCATCTTTGTAGAAAGACCACTAATATTAAAATGAGTGGCTCTGAAACTTTTGTTTGCATCGGAATCATCAGAAGAGCTTGTAAAACACAGATTGCTGAGTCCCATCTCCAAAATTTCTGATTCAGTAGGACTGGGATGGAGATTGAGAATTTGTATCTCTAACAAGCTCCAGGCTTCTGTTGCTGCTACTGGTCTGGAGACCATCCTTTGAGAACTAATGCTTCATAGGACTGTTCAATTAAGTGGAGTTGAGAAAAAGGGGATTGGATTAAGATGGAATTAGGACTTGGAAATATTCTATTGGTATTTACAAATGTGATATTCAAAATATTTCACTAGTCACTGGCCAAACAAAATGCATACTGGTCTTAATCCATATGGCTAAACCTGTGCCCACTGCCTCCACATTAGACTTGAGTAAGTGTATGCCACCTAAAAATGTCTTACTGATTAATCAAAATTGTATGCGTGTTTGCTTTTTTAAATAGTTCTTCAAATATAAATCTAAAGTAACTATTTTAGAGTTTAGAATAATATATCATGTTTTATTATTTCATTTTTGTCTTCATATCCAAACAATAATCTCAGCTAAAATATTCAAAATCAGATAATAAAAAAAAAGAATCCCTCTGACTCATGTGTTACCTCTGCCCTCTCCAAAGAACATGGCAGCTTCTTTAATAAATACTCTTCATTTTTCTCATATTTTATTTCAATAAATTTAATATGTGGTAAAATTACATGATATCAACTAACAAAGATCACGTTTTCCTTTTGGAATGATGTGTTCATGAAAATTAATTAGTTTTGGTAATCAGATACATATATTTACAATACACTTCTGAGTATTAAAAAACAAGGCATCCATCACTTGAGCTCAGAGAGAACACTCATAAATGAATCATGTTTTATATACCTTTATATAAAAGAGATGGTGAGTAACAGACAGTATGCCAAGTGGTGGTGCTAAAGGAATAAAATGATACATGAACATTAAATATTCTGTGAGTTTCACAGTGATAGTGTTTTAAAAAGAATCCTCTTATTAAGATAAGTAAAATAATGTGTGTGTGTGTGTGTGTGTGTGTGTGTGTGTGTGTGTTTCAGAACGGCAAAAATTCCCCCAAATGTTAGCATTCAACAATTATTTTTACCTGCAGTGGAACTTCTACTGTCTTTAAACTGGAAGACATTTGAAATTCTGAAGATACACATCGATGACTGAACAGTCTGACTGCCTACTGATGACTAGGGTGTGGTGATGACATTTAAAGTGGCATTATTCTTTTCTTCAGGAATGTGTGTGTATATCTTTAATGTCAGCACTTGCCACTTGTTAGATTTGCTGGTGTCATGTGCTATTTCAAAGTAGATAATAGTGATTTTTTATGACACAGTATCCCAATATTCCACTTGTTACTTAAAAGTTTTCAGGATGCTTTGGGACTGTTGTTCAATTAACAAATGAATGTGCTTTTTTTTTTTTTTTGCATTTTGCTTTTTAATATATCCAGTGTCTCAGTTGGGACACACCAACTATTAGTCATTTTGTTATCCCCTTCTCCCACAACTTCCTGAGCCATTTCACTGGTGGAAATCATTGGCTTAGTTGTGTCGGTATGGAGAGTATTTGGAAGGTATAAGTGTTCTTTTTTCTTATTGGGTTCTTTTTGAGTGTTTCTTAATCTCCAAAGTAGTGACACTCCTGGTTCTATGGTATTCTAAAACAAAGTGTTATTTGGTTGGAAATAACTTAAAAGTAAGTTGTCAAAGTCCAATTTTTTTTGTTCTGCTCACTTCTGTGTGTACTCTGATCATCTGATTCTGTTTTCAGTTTTCAAATGCAAAATTCTGTAATGTGCCATAATGAAGCAGTATACGTCTTTAACCTTGGAATCATTCCTGTGAAGAAGTAATTGTTTGCTTGTGTCTGACGGTTCCCAGGTTTCTGGGAAAGACTTGAGTCAGAAACTGGCTAATAAATAACAGGAAACAACCTTGGAGGGAATGTGGTGTACTCCGTTACATCCACTGTCTCTCTGCCCAGACAAGGCCCACGGAGACATCTCTGGCCAACTGCTGCTTCAAAACAATCTCCCAGCAGGATACTTACTTAGGTTACAGTCACAGAAAGATTAGATATGGCTGCAAAATCTGTCCAGTCCAGCGAAGTGGCAGAAAGGGGAGTAGTAAGGGTAAGAAGAGCTGGCTGAGTTGGTTTTTGTTTTGCTTTTTAGTTTTTTTGTGGTTTATGTTTTCATACAAAGAATACACTTTTATACAACACATCTGTAATCAGTTGGACCAAGAGTTATGGGTCTATACATAGAAAAGTAGTACTACTGTGACCTAAAAGTAGCCCAATAAATTCTACAAACAATAAATAAGGGAGGATGACAAAGAAAATTTATAATATCCAGAGGGGTTATCTGTCTGAATTCAGTTTCCAACTGGTATGTCCATTTCTACCTGAAGACACACACCTGCACCATTACAATTACATTGATCTCCTCTAGTGCTATCTGCCTTCTGTACACCATTCCCCGAAATTCTACACATCATGGGTTCTTCATAGCACTTTGGACCTTCATATCACAGGATTTTTCTTTTCCAAATTTGAAAGAGGCTTAATTGCCTTTCTTTGAGTCAGATAATTTTTAATTAAGATGATTATTTTCAGGATGCTTTGGGACTGTTGTTCAATTAACAAATGAATGTGCATTTTTTTTATTTTATTTTTTTGCTTTTTGCTTTTTAATATATCCAGTGTCTCAGTTGGGACACACCAACTATTAGTCATTTTGTTATCCCCTTCTCCCACAACTTCCTGAGCCATTTCACTGGTGGAAATCATTGGCTTAGTTGTGTCGGTATGGAGAGTATTTGGAAGGCATAAGTGTTCTTTTTTCTTGTTGGGTTCTTTTTGAGTGTTTCTTAATCTCCAAAGTAGTGACACTCCTGGTTCTATGGTATTCTAAAACAAAGTGTTATTTGGTTGGAAATACCACTGAAAATGCAGATTTACTAGAAACATTAAAATGTTTATTTTAGAGACATACGTATAACTGTTAATGTTAATTTAAACACTATCTTTAATAGGCATTGTATATAAAACATTCACTTCTATACCAGGGGTAGGAATGCTGACAGAGAGAAGAGAGGAACTTTGCTTTAAGGAAAAGTATGTAGCCAGTTGCCTAGTGAAGATGACCCACTATATTGTGGATTTAATTGACTGTTGCATATTGTCCTCAAAAGATATGTCTAAAGGACTTGATTTATTAATAAGAAAAACGAGGCAGAAAATAAAAAGGGACACACCGCAGTTGCATGCTCCACGTAGAATCAAACCAGTCCACTCTATTGCTGGTTCGCCGATTAACTATAGCCAGTTTTAACTTCATATTTTGACTCACACTATGTCTTTTGATGTTACGTGTTGTTGGAAAACTTGTAACTGATGTATGAGTGTCCTTTCTGTTCAAACTGTTTCTAATATATAATTTCTTTGTCCAGTGTTCTTTCAATAAGGGTACCAAATCCTTTGAGGATACTTGTCAGGATGATGCAAATGAAGGTGTAGATTAATTGTTTATCATTTATAAAAATATATACTGCAACACCCTGCATAACACAGTTGCTGTGATGAAGAGAACAGTGTGATTATTATTTTTCTTGCAAAATGGAAGCTTGAGTTTATTTATTTATTTAATATATTTTTATTAATTTCAGAGAGGAAGGGAGAGGGAGAGAGAAAGATAGAAACATCAATGATAAAAAAGAATCATTGATCAACTGCCCCCCTCATGCCTCCTACTGGGAGCCACGCCTGCAACCTGGGCATGAGCCCTTGACCAGAATCTGACCTGGAACCCTTCAGTCCTCAGGCCAACACTAAGCCAAACCAGCTGGGATGAACCTTGGGTTTAAATAAGCCTTTGGAAGTAATGGATAGTCTTAACAGGCAGATGTCTCCACTTCTTTGTGAGGTGACATTTTGAAAGGTTTTTGAGCTGGGAATCCTTCTGATCTAAGAATTTCCCTGCTCACTCCCAGTCCACCCCAAGCCACCAAGGCTCTCTCCCCCATTAACAAACATTAATATATATAGATACCCTTAAGATCATTTTCTATCTTAGTGAATGTGTCTCTCCAGTACCATAAGATAGATAGTTTTCAGAAAATATAAACTTGGGGGGGAAATATATATATTTTGACACAGACAAAAGAATTGCATTGATCCCATTACATAGTCAAAACACACTGTAGCCTCTTGACAATGGGCCGGGCATGAAAGGCTTACATGTTTAAAGAATGCCTCTACCTTGAATTTCTAAGGCCACCCTCTATGGGAAGCAAGCAAAAAGAAGGGATCAGAAAATTACCCAGCTTGTGTGTACTCCATTTGGACGTAGGCAATGTATTTGCTTTTGAACTCTCAAGCTTCAATCTCAACCTCCTGAGTGCCACTTCCCTTATTATATATGAAGTTTTTCTTCTAGACACCTGTTGGGGGCTGTCTTAATAAGACACATTGTAGAAAGAGGAACACATTTCCCAGGCCAAGAAGGTGAGAGCTATTTCTTTCTAGGGCCCTTGTTATTTGGGGGCCCAGCATCTTCTGTGGCAGAACAAAGGCAACACGGGTATAAATTCTTATTTTTCTTCCACTCCACAAAGAAAATGTTGTTGATGTGGTTGGTGCTCACCTACATGTCTCTAAAGAGAAGCAGTCGAATACTCCTTCCTTCCAACCAGAGGTTTTAGAACTCGATGCCCATTGCTTTCTAGCATCATTCTAAACAGAACCCTACTGTTTGGCCATGGCCAAAATTAGCTTGAATGGTACCGATTATTGAAAGGGAGTCTGTATTTGCAATAATACAGAGAATGCTAGTTTAGAAATGAGCCTGATTGCATGGTTCATTTTGTTCTCCTTTGTAGAGCCAGGCTGCGGCCCACTACAAAGGCACGAAACATGCCAAGAAGCTCAAAGCACTGGAAGCCATGAAAAATAAGCAGAAATCTGTCACTGCCAAGGACAGCGCAAAGACTACCTTCACCTCCATCACTACCAATACCATCAACACCAGCTCTGACAAAACAGGTTAAACAATGATCTTTGTTGTTGTTGTTGTTGTTGTTGTTGCTGTCACCATCATTGTTCTTTGGGCCTTCTTCCCTTGTCTAACCCTGTGTCTGTTTACCTGTGTTCCTGCCACGTTGATTCATGCATGATCCATGTTTCTATGTGATGGTAATTGTTTCCCCTCATTTTTAAAATACCCTTCAGACACTAAAATAATCGCAAGTTATACTACAGAGTTTGCGTTTGAAACAGTCCTGTGACTGTTTGAAAGCAACACCAGAGTCATAAAGGCATTTGAAACCATGTCCCCGATAACCCTTGTCGAGAAGTGAACCTTGCTGATGCACATAGTTTGCATCTAGTATGCAGCACTCTAGCCTGAGACTGCATGGCAGATTTGATTGAACGGTGCGTAAAACAACAAGGTATGCCAAGTGAATTGAGAAGGTCCCAATAAGGGCATTATTATCGACAGGCCTTCTTCTCATAAATCCCAAGCAGTGCAGTGTTTTAGGTAATTCTGGGTTTGTTACACCTGGGTAGCCTTTCTTCTGCATACACAGGTAAGTGTTATTGATACCAATTACTCTTTTTAACAGAGTCTTCTCAGTGAAACAATGGCCTCTGAATGGCCCCTTGGGATAGCTCCTGCAAACAGCTAGTTTATTTGCAACAGGGGAAGTCCGTGGGGTTTCCCTAAGATAGATAACATTTGAAAATATAAAAACACTAGTCCTCAAATTTTACATGAAAGCCCAGTGTTATGTATGGATGTACATTTAATACACTACTGTCTAAAACAAAAGAACTGGTACATGGTTTCCAGTCCCTTCAATGATCAGGAAGCATCCATATCGTCATATTAATAGATAGTCTTAACTAGAGGAAACTCTCCTGGCCATGACTGATAAAAATGTAAAATGCTACAGTGAGAAAGTAGAACAGATCATAGTGACTTTATGACACCTGCTTGCATCCATTAGACACATATAGGATCTGAGGATATGCCTGTTCCCATGTGAATCTGTACGGGGTGATGATATTTTCTACAAATTCCCACAACAACATCGTTGTTCCTTACCCAGGTGTGATTAGTAGATGCATCATGCTGTCCTCCCTGAGAACCCTTTGTACTCCCTGAACCTGAGTGTCTTTGTCATCTTTGTATCGATACACTGTCACTAGGTGTAGGTGCTGAGTAAAGTGTCTATTGGATGTCACCCCCCTCGATTCTCTGATTCTGATTTGTTTAATTTTGTGTCACAACATTCTACGGGTACAAAAGAAGTGCTTGTCATCTTCTTCGATATCCAGAGTAAGAGCTGGATTGTGTCATTTTATTAAGTTAGATGTACAACTTACATTAATCTTTGCTCTATTAATTAAAACATACTCCTTTTTGGGGGGGAACTATCAGGGAATAATCAGCAATGAAGCAGGTGAATTTAACCCCCCCCCCAGATATTAGAGCACAGATTGGCATCCTGAAGGCCATAATTTCTATAAAGAAATGTATTTCATTTGTAAAAAGAAAGTAGATAGAACAAAGGCATGGGTTTGAATAAAAAAGATGAGCTTGTTGTAAAGAGTTTAATGTAAAGTTTTTGCTTGCCTCCAAATGTTTCTATTCTTAGACACTTTAATCAGTCATGACTATTTGGGTTTGCTTGACTCCTCTTTTTTAATTTAATTTTATTGGGGCGACATTAGCCAACATAAACACATAGGTTTATGTATGGATTTTTAAGTTACAAAATCTGTACATAGCACTATGTTTCCACCACCCAAAGTCATCTTCTCCTGTCACCTCATGTGAGGACTCCCTTCTCCCCCAATCCCTGCCCATCTACCACACACCGTTGTTCGTGTTCATAAATTTCAGTTTTATATCCCACATAGGGTTCTTAACTTTTTCTATCTGACTTATTTCACTTAGCGTAATGTTCTCAAGTTCCTCTCATGTTGTTGTAAATAATACTATTTAATCCTTTCTTATGGCTGAGTAGTACTCCATTGTGTATATGTACCACATCTTCTCTCTTCAGTCCTCTATCTCAGGGCATTTTGGCTGTTTCTATGTCTTGTCCACTGTGAAAAATGCTGCAATGAACATAGGGGTGCATATATTTTTGTGAATAAATGAGTTTTGAGTTTTTTTTTTTTATATACTATATACCTAGGAGTGGGGTTGTTGGTTCATATGGTAGCTCTATTCTTAAATTTCTTGACTCCTCTTTAAAATGCAAAAGTCTCTGTTACATTGAGGATGCACATCATTGAACAATATATACTTACATGGTGGGTAGAGCGCTAACTTGAGTTAGGGAAGGCTCCTGCACGGGTTGTCTCTGTTTTGAATGCATTCTTCCATTTCTCAACTTAAAGACCAAACTATAAATGAGGGCAATCACCAAGGCTTTGTCCTTTTAGAAGTGAAATGGAAACATTTTTTGGGGGGTTGGCCTGTGGGTGACAACCTATCATACAATAAGCTGATTCCCAGTGAAGATGCTGGAACTTGCCCACTGGTTGGAATGGCATTGAAATGGTGAAACACCCTTTCATACTAGAGCAAGAGAAAATTCCTAAAAGGCAGGAGAGATAGTCAAATCTATAAAGTTGGTACAAATATGTTAAAGCCAAATGAAAAAAATTATGAGCATCAGGAAGGACATTGCTCTCCTAATCTATAGGAATCTGTACTCAACCCCCTTATCCCCTCCCCCAAACAACAACAACAACAAAAAAAATCCCATACATTGAAAGACTAAGGTTTCTAGCACACTAACCTGGTATTTTAAGCCAAATTTTATCAAATGGGGATTTCCACAAAACTGTCTATAAGAAGTAGCCTAAGAAAGCTCCAGTCATGTTATAAATTGTTATCTCATTTCTATTGCAATATAAATCAGAGGTACCTATGCTAACCAATTAGAGTTATTTTTGTTTTGTTTTTTTAAACACAATTACTTGTTTTTTTACTACTGTTTCTTCCTACTGATGAAGAAGGAACACAACCCTGAAAATAAGATGGGTTTCTGAGGCATTTCCCTAGAACAGTTAAAACAGGAGGCAGAGAGAGAGAGAGAGAGAGAGAGAGAGAGAGAGAGAGAGAGAGAGAGAGAGAGAGAGAGAGAGAGATAAGACTACAGAATTAAAGTTCATGTATTTTTTTTTAAATATATATATATATATATTTTATTGATTTTTTACAGAGAGGAAGGGAGAGGGATAGAAAGTTAGAAACATCGATGAGAGAGAATCATCGATCAGCTGCCTCTTGCACACCCCTTACTGGGGATGAGCCTGCAATCAAGGTACATGCCCTTGACCGGAATCAAACTTGGGACTCATCAGTCCGCAGGCCTAGGCTCTATCCACTGAGCCAAACCAGTTTCAGTAGCTCATGTATTTTTTAATTAAAAAATTAACCATTTTGATTAATGCACAAGGTTTTTGTGTGATTTTGGGACTTATCTATACATAAAAGATATAGATGTGTATTAAATCACATTTGACTAATTTTACTAAATTACTCTTAATAAAAATATTCCAAATATATTTTTAAAAAAAGTATTTGCTTTTAAAAAGGCTAAATAGATTATGCTTTGGTAGATAAAAACCTTAAGAGAAAGCTAGCAACAATAGTGAAAAGGGCAAGAAGTAATGTGGACTTAAATTATAAAATTGACTTGGAGTTTTTCCTGGGTTCTCAAACATACAAAAAATAGAATACTCATAAAAAAAACAAATTTTCATTCCAATTCTACTTAATAAAAAGAGAGCTGTGAAAACAATTCCTCTTAAATTCCTAAATTATATATTATGGGTTTTAATTGCTGCCTTGGGCTAACAAATATGTCTAAATGACACATTGGGTAAGCTTTTCTTCACTAATTTTATGATCTTGGAATTCTCTTTTATTACTTAATGTCACTCTGCATGCTGGAGTGGTGAGTAATAGAGAATGCTCAGTGATCAACTACCGACTGCTCACAGAAAGCCTAGCTTCTCTATCTCTAGGCAAGAAAGATGCTCCCTAACATTAAAACATAAGTTGAGTTCTTGTGGTCTAATGAGGAGTATTAGATTGATGAATTCACAAGAAACATTTACAAGACTAAAGTAATATTCTAAAAAATAATTGAACACTCAAAAATTTTAGTACATGAGGGTGGTTGGTATGTATTACAGAATATTTCATAGAGTAAATATTTTCATTTTCAAAGTTGGCTAGAATAACTTTGTCTGATCTAGCAAGTTGTTTTATATAAGAGTTTAATACAAAAAAGTAATGATAAAAAATAAGAAATTATGCTCAAAGTAACTTAGCAAATATAACTCAGTTGGTGTTTGTTTTTTCTTCTTTTTTTCCTATAAAATGACAAATTCAGAGGTGTAGGGTTTAGTCTTATGCTAGGCCCTCCTCTGATCTTTGTGTGTGTGTGTGTGTGTGTGTGTGTATATAATTGATTTCAGAGAGGAAGGGAGAGGGAGAAAGAGAAACATCAGTGATGATAGAGAATCATTGATTGGCTGCCTCCTGCACACCCCCTCCTGGGAATTGAGCCCACAGCCCATGCATGTACCCTTGACCTGAAGAGAACTTGGGATTCCTCAGTCTGCAGGCCCACCCTCTATCCAATGAACCAGACCAGCTAGGACCTCTGGTCTTTCTTTACTTTCTCTTTTTGAGAAACCTTATTTATTCCAAGTGCCTATTAGTTAGTTCGGCTAGATTATACTGCAGTAATAAACAACTTAGAAATCACAGGGGCTTTTGCAACAACTAATCCTTTCTCACTCACACAACACATCAGCAGTGGTTTTCTTTCCATGTTCATTTAATTCCAGGCCAAGGCTAATGAAGCAGTCACTATTAATATTACCATTTCTATGGAAGATGGGAAAGAAAGTCATGAATCAATAGGCTTTTAAAGCTTTTTAATGGAAGTGAATTTATAACATATCTCTCACTTCCACTGCCAAGTTTCATGATTAAGCCTGTTATAATGGGC